CCATTCTATAACCCCAAAAAGTCCTTTTCTATATCTGTCTTATAAAGATATATGGTTGATGAAGTCTATGTCATTAACAATAACTTAAGTATGTTATCTTTTAGTCCACAGTTTCCCGCAGTTTATTAATGGTATCACACATTAATTCTCCTTACACGAGTGACCTTTACAAGTCCAGTCATCCTCACAGCTTTTATCCAATTACATTATCACTCATTACAGGTACAGCCTTTCAAAAATCTGCATTTCAATGAAAGGGGAGGATGAAAATGGCAAGGATTCCAAATGCCGGGGGAGTTTTTTTAAAAAAAGTGGGGCTAGGAAGTCAGAAAGGAGAAAATGGTATCTAGAAAATTATGAAGCTGCTTAGAGTGTTTTCGTATAGGGTGTGGAAGATCCAGGTGGATCTTCCCATTCATTCATGGAAGCCCTGGGGATTGATGACAGCGTGATTGCCTTTGAGGGCCGTTTTGTGGGAGACTGGGGGTCTATCTTGCGTAGTTGGTTGGTCACTGTTGGAATTAAATTGTTTGACTAGATGGGCCAGGGGTCCAATCCTGGAAGTGAGTCCTGCTTAGGTTCTTATCCTTTAGAACAGGGGTGTCAAACTCCATTTCATTGAGGGCCGCATCAGGGTTGTGTTTGACTTTGGGGGTGTGAGCAGGGGTGGGATTCAAATTTTTTAACAACCGATTCTTTGGGTGTGGCTTAGTTGGTGGGCGTGGCTTGGTGGTCATGTGACTGGGTGGACATGGCTTAGTGGTCATGTTAATGGCTGGGCATGCTCAGCTCAACATCACTCACATTGAGGCAGGGATCTCCTCTCATGACTGTGGGGATGCTGCAACAGTCGTAAGTGTGAAAAAGGGTCATAAGTCACTTTTTTCAGGACCATTGTAACTTTAAATGGTCACTCCATACAAGCAAAGTACCAGCAAAGGAGGGGGGAAAAACTCCAGAGAAGTTCCTGAGACAGGAAATCTAGTGCTGCCAAGAATGTAATAAGGGTTAATGGAGAGGCAGTTTCTGTAAGCAACACCAGAATGTTACCTTCCTGCCTTCCTTACAGGATTAGGCCAGTAATTTCTTCTAACAACTGGTTCTCCGAACTGCTTAGAATGTTAACAACCGGTTCTAGTGAATAGGTGCAAACTGGTAGAATCCCACCCCGGGGTGTGAGGTGGCCAGCTGGGAATGGCCAGCTCGACATCACTCAGGTCAGGGGCGTCTGTGGAAGCCTGAGCACTCTACTAGTGAAAATAGGCTCCTGAACACTGTGTGATGACCCAGGGCATGGCACAAAAGCAACAAAGTCACAAAAGTAGATAAAGTTCCTTTAATTCCTCCAACTTGGGCCCCAATGTCCAGTTATCATTGGCTGGAGAAAACACTCTCCCAAGAGTAGTTTTTAAAGGGAAGAAATTCAGTCTGAACCAAAAAAACATATAAATTATAAATAAAAACCAACACAAAGCACGCTGCAGCAATTAATGAGACAGGGCAGGATAAGGAATTTAAGACTTCAAAAGATAATGAAACACAAAGTTGGGAGGACGCCAGAACCCAGATAAGACTTGACAAACAAAGATAATGCACACTTTGCTTACAGCAAGGTTCTGTGCGCAAACACCCTCTTTATCCTGTTTTCCCAGCTGCAGCTAATGAAGGGAATCAAGGCCTTTTTCTCCCCCATAAGCCACGTTGCTCCCTTCTCCATTCCCCCCTGTGTGCCCTAGGATGAAGAGGGGGTGGGCCTGGATCTTCCTCTGAATGCCCAGCCAGACTGTGCCCTTCCCCAGTTTCCTCCACAGCCACCGGAGCCACACTCCCACTCCCTCGGAGATTCCAACAGGGGCATGACACTCTGTTTGCAGCTGCAATGGCCTCTTGCAATCCTCTACTAGTGAAAATGGAGCTCGGGAGCCCGTTTTCACTGGCAGAGCACTCAGGCCACCACAGGTGCCCCCAACATGAGTGACATCGAGCTGGCCACTCCCACTTGGCCACGCCCCACTCTCTGAGGTCAAACACAACCATGATGCAGCCCTCAATGAAATTGAGTCCCTTTTCATTTTCTCTGGCAGAGGCACTGCAAACCAGTCCTTTGCTATATCCAGGGTGGCCCTGCAGGCCAAATCTAAGCACCTTGCGGGCCAGATTTGGCCCTTGAGTTTGACACCCCTGCTTTAGAGCAGTGTTTCTCCATCTTGGCAACTTTAAGATGTGCAGCCATCAACTCCCAGAATCCCCAACCAGCTAGGCTAGCTGAGGAACTTGGGGAATTGTAGTCCACCCATCTTAAAATTGGAACTGGTTATTCTATTATTTCTTAAAATAGAATAATAGAAGGGTCCTGGGAGAGACATTCCGAGGTCTTCACAAGGCTTGCAACTCCAAAGGTTCAACAGAATTTTGTGAGGATGGGTTGTTTTCCCCCCATTTCTTTTCCTTTTTATTATAGTCTTTGATTTACAACAGTTTATTTATGAGTCTATGTCTTTCATTTGGTACTCTTGAGAGGCCATTTAAAACAGCTAATCCTCAAGTTACATCAGTTTGTTTAGGGAACAGCACTGTAAAAAAGTGACTTATGACTGTTTTTTCACACTTACAACCATTACGCCATCCCCTTGGCCATGTGATCAAAATTCAGACACTGGCCAACTGACTTATATTGATGACAGTTGCACTGTCCTGGGGTCATGTAATCCCCTTTGGATATTGACCAGAAAAGTCCAAGAGAAGCCAGATTCAGGTAACATGTTACTAATTTAATAAGAGCAGTCATTCGCTTAACAACTGTGGCAAGAAAGAGGCGTAAAATGGCAGAGGCAGAAATTTATTAAATAATTCACTTATTCTGAGTTCAGTTGCGGTCTTAAGCCAAAGACTACCTGTAATAATATAAATCTTAATATATTTTGTTAAGGGGTGGGCTTCAAAAATTTTAGCAAAGGGTTCTCTGTCCGGTTGCTGGGTGGGTGTGGCCATGGTGGGCGTGGCCTAGTCGGCCTCCTGCACCATGGCAGCGGGGGGGTTGTTTTTGCCCTCCCCGGACTCCGGAGGTTTTCCTTGAGCTTCTGGGAGGACAAAAATGGCCTCCCTGGGCTCTGGAGGCTTCCTAGAAGCTGGAAATGGGCCCATTTCCAGCCTTCCCGAACTTTCAGGAGGCCTGTTTATTTGCCTTCCCCAAGCCTCTGTGCGCGGCCTGCACTTACAGTACCTGCATCCAAAACGGGCCGCGTGGGGACTCATGGGAGAGGTGGGTGGGCGGGGCCAGCCAGGAGTGGGATTTGGGAGTTCTTCTCTCCAAACTTCACAGAATCTTAGCTAGGGGTTCTCCCGAACCCCTGCGAACCCCCAGCAGTCCATCCCTGATTGTGTTATTTCAATACATTAATACTTGTATAATATGTCTGAAAATTAGACCTTCTATTATCTAGATCAGTGGTCACCAACTGGTGGGCTGCGGCTCACTGGTGGGCCGTGAGAAAATTTTAGTGGGCCGCAGAGAAATCTCACTCCCAGAGCATCCCCACAAAGCAATTAATCCATGCTGTGCAGAAACACAAGGCTGCTCTGCCCACATGGCCTGCAGGAACCCTCCTCGCCCACTCACTCCTTACCCAGTAAACTTGCCTGCTAAAATTGCTATTTATCCTTTTTCTGACCATCATCTGTTCTGCTGTGCCGGGAAATTTAGATTAGCTAGGAAGCAGGAAATGGTTGGATTTCTTGCTTTCAAGCTAGTCTTTAGATCTTCGGCTCAGCACAGCCGAACCTCCCTTGGGTCTGAAGGTTTGCTTGCAAACAAATTCAGTGCAGACTCACGGCAAGCAAATTTGAGAGACTGAGCTAGCCGATGGCAGATAGATAGATCACTGAATGATTCTGTGAGCAACTCAATCTGCCTGATTTGCCTGATTTTGGGTAAAAGTTGCTCTTTTTTTAATAAAAAATTCAATATTTACATGCGTGGTATGTTGTGAGTTAATTTTATGAGTTTGCTTGCAAGCAAATTTTATGTGAGAGACTGAGCTAGCCAATGGCAGATAGATAGATCTCTGAATGAATCTGTGATTCTGTGAGCAACTCAATCTGCCTGCCTGCTTTGCCTGATTTTGGGTAAAAGTTGCTCTTTTTTTATTTAAAAAAAATCAATATTTATATCAATATTTATAATATTTACATATAAGCCATGCCCAGCCAGTCACATGACCATCAAGCCACACCCACAAATTAGGCCACGCCCACAGAATAAGTTAGTGGTCCCTGGGGTCTAAAATTATGAGTTTGGTGGTCCCTGAGGTCCAAAAGGTTGGCGACCCCTGATCTAGATGGCTTAGAACAGGGGTGTCAAACTCAAGGCCTGCGTTGCTTCGACCTGGTCTACCCATTACGAAGAGGAAACATGCCAGCAGTTTGGGGAATGGCGTAAAGCTGGCCACACCCACCCACCTGACCACGCCCATTCAGTTGGCCACATCCAGTGAGTGGCGTCAAATTGGCCACGCCCACCCAGTCGGCCACGGCCGCCTGCCCCTCCCCCCCAGAGTCAACCACAGTCCTGATGTGGCCCTCAACGAAATTGAGCTTGACACCCCTGGCTTAGAATATTGAGAACAGGAAAGAGAGAAAGAAAAAAAATATTCAATCAATGCTAATTTACAATTTAGGATGTCAATATTGCAAGCATAAATTTATTTGGCTTTTACGTGCAAAGTTGACTGTAACGTTGACCGAGAGCCACCACAACTCACACCCACAATTGTCTTGTTGAATATATGTTATATTCTAGAAGGGTTATGAATGGTAAGGACGAGATCGGAAGGCCTGTAGGGAACAAATGCTTCCCTTAATCAATCTTATCTCTTTGCAAACCCTTGAAAAATGGCTCCGATATTTGTGATCCAATCACAGGATATGGGAGAGAAGGCATGGCAGCTTAAGAGGCCCAGAGGCTATGAATGGCTGACTTCAAGCAAAATAGATCTTCTTACCTATTGTGTTGACTCTGGCTGATGGACTAGCTAACGTTGCTGGCACTGAAGATTTCAATGAGCTGCACCCGCTGTTTATTCTCAATGATGGCATGTGAGGAGAAGTAGGTGACGAAGGAGACTTGCTGTCATTTGTCTTGGGCTTTGCTGAGAGATTCAACGGCTGGGCCACGTCGTCCTGAAATGGAAATAAGAAGACCGAGACATAAGTTGCACCGTACGGTTGTTGGTTTGGCCACCACTAATAGCAGCACCTGTCAACTTGGATGTCAGACGTAATTCCACTCTCAGTATTTGTCCCTCTAAATCAGGGGTCTCCGACCTTAGTAAGTTTACGACTTGTGGACTTCAACTCCCAGAATTCCTCATGCTGGCTGAGGAATTCTGGGAGTTGATGTCCACAAGTTGTAAAGTTGGAGACCCCTGCTCTAAAAGAAACATGGTTTGGTCTGCCCCTTTGCAATCGAACTTCTGCGAAAATCCACAAAGTTGGGAGAAGGGAAGGAACATTAGTCTGAAAGTAGCTGGGAAAGAGAATTGACTTTAATATGATTAATCTTCTGCATATTTTTGCTCTCTAGGTTCTGAGAACCTCTGCCTCTTGCATCATTTTTTCCCTACACCTAACAGATGAACATGTCCCTGTGTGTGTTTATAAAAATAAGGTAAAGGAGTCTCTGCGGATTTTATTCTATGAGTTGTTGATGACTATAGGGGTGTGTTCTGACACAAACCTTGTTCCAAGGAAACAAACACGAAACAGAGGGAACAACAAAACCTTTTAATGATTCTTTACGAATTCCATTCCTTCCCTGTTTCAAACTAATTGTCTCTGGTAAGAACGAGCCTTGCCAAGGTTGTGCAAGGCTGCCAAGAACACTAGATAAAGTTGCCAAGAAATAGTTCAAATACAAGCGTCTCCAAACACCAACTAAGAGAGTCCGAAGTCCACAAGGCTTGAGTGCAAAAACTTCTTTGCTTCCTGCAAAGAACTCCGGTTTCTCAGCTGGCTTTTATCTCTTGTGGGAGGGGCCATTACCTTGCAGCCTTACTCCTGAGTTGCCCATGCTGCTGCAGCTGCTCTTTCCTTCGAGCCGCCCTGCACGCATGCGCACTGGGCACAGGCTCCTCGGGGACCTCTTCATCACTGCTGCCAGCCTCCACAATCTCCGAAGGCAGCATTCCACTCCCTGATGGTCCTGGCCCCATCCCTGCCTCACACGCAGGCCCCTCATCTGAGTCCTCGCTCTCCATGACCTCAGCCGTCCACACCTGCTGCTGGCGAACCACAACAGGGTGGTGCTCATTTCTGTTTCAAGGCCATTGAGCCAGCGGTGTCCAAAGACATTTCTGTGATCACGTGACCAGCATGACATCAGAGACAACTGTTACCTTCCCACCAAAGTAGTACCTATTTATCTAGTCACATTTGCATTGCTTTCAAACTGCTAGGTTGGCAGTTGCTGGGCTGAGGACGGGAGCTCATCCCGTTGCATGGAGCTCAGGTCTCTAACCTTGGCTGCTGGCTTTCCAACTGACAAGCCCAGTGGCATAGCCATTGCCCCGTCCTGTGTGTACTTATGCTCACAACATAAATGTGGTCCTCAAGTTAAAACCATAATTGACCCTTGCATTTACGGTCGTAAGTCATGATAGTTGTAAATGGGTCATGATGAGAGCAGAGCCAATTTTACAACCTATTTTGCAGCAGTTATTATGTGAACGCTGTGGTTTATTTATTTGTTTAGTGAATGGCAAACCTGCAGTTGAAATGAACAATGCAGTTGTTCAGTGAACTTCTGGTTGCTAAGCAAATCCATTCTTTGTTATGGGCCTTTTTTTGCTGGAATCTTGATGAAAATGCTGGCTTCTGGCAAAAATTTAAACTGTGGCCATGTGGATTATGGGGTGTTGCAAATGGCAATAAATATGAGTCTCTTTCTGAGTGCCAAAATGCATTCATGTGACTGTGGGAGGGTAGATTTTGGAATTTTTAAAATGGATTATAAGTATCTTTTTTTTGGAGGGGAGAGGGTCTCGTCCATCATAATTCCAAACAGTTGCTAAGTGACTGTTTATAAATCAAGGACTACCGGTATCCTATACAAGAGCTTTCTTTTAAGTTAAAGATTGGTATTTGACACCTCTATTTATCACCTGAGGGACACGATGGCTCAGTGGATAAGACACTGAGCTTGTCAATCAGAAAGGTCGGCAGTTTGGCAGTTCAAATCCCTAGCACTGTGTAACAGAGTGATCTCCCATTACTGGTCCCAGCTTCTGCCAACCTAGCAGTTCGAAAGCATGTAAGTAGAAAAATAGGGACCAGTTTGGTGGGAAGGTAACACCAAACTTCAGCCTTTTAGTCATGGCGGCCACATGACCACGGAGATGGGTCTTTGGGCAGCGCTGGCTCTTTGGCTTTGTAACGGTGATGAGCACCACCCCTTAGAGCCGAAAATGACTAGCACATATGTGCAAGGGGAACATTTACCATTACTATTTATCACCTGCCTCCCATGTGAATTCAAATTCTGCTACTTCTTTTGCCTCCTCCCTTTTTTAAAAAAATAAAGTTTTATTTGGGTTTTCACACATACAAAATACAAGTAAAACATCTTTTTTGAAAATAGCATGGTCCCAGGTTGAACTTCTTTATACAGACACAAAACTCAATTTCATGCTCCTTTTCGTATTCTATTCCATATCTTATACTATTTTACATTTTCTATATAGTTTTTCCCCTCTTTTAATTTTCTCAATTTTATTTTGATTATCTCATCTCAATTCAAATCATTATATTTATACTTTTGTCTGTTCTGTTTCAATTTCATATTATCTTTTCTCATTAAACAAATTTTCTCCTGTATTTACTAATTGGAGTATGACACCTTTATATCTTTTAATTACATCCATTCAACTCTTATTTAAACTTCAATATATACCTTAAGGTTATGACCTTCAATATAATACATAATACATAACTTCCAATCAAATTCTGCTTGGTACATTCTTATAATACACACTATATTCTTTAAAAAAAGAAAAGAAAGATTGTAAATATATGTAACTATAAACCCTTATTCCATTCCAGTTCAGTTCTATCATTAATAATCATTAAAATCTTAACATCTTTAACACTTCTTTTCAATTAAATACCATACTTCCTTAAAAACACATATAATCTCCATAATTAATTTTCCCTTATTTCTCTTCACATATGTTTTATAAATCATTAAATATACCTTTTGTTACATTTATTTATTGACAAGCATTCCACTGAATTACAATAGCTATTTTATCAGACATTTTAATAATACATTGTTTCATATTTTCTAAAATTATTTCTGCTTCTAATATAACCATACTATCTTATGTACCTTTGCAGAATCCCCTTTTCCATTAAATTTTCACCCATTATCTCTAAATAGGCCCTGTTTCTCTATATTTTGCTTCTGTCCTTTATAACTTCTTTTCCTTTCTTTCTTCCCTCTCATCTTCTCCCTCCCCCTTTTACCCCCTTGTCTCTCTAGTTCTAAATCTCTCTTCTGCATTTCCCTCTTCTGTTGCTTTCTGATTTTATACTTATTTTTCACCCTATTTTTTTTTTTTGGAGTTGTTTTCCCAATCTTAAACTTTCCATTCTCTTTCCCCCCTTTCCTTTTTTTCCCTCCATCTAAGATTACCAGAATTCTTTAAAGATGTAAAGCTGCTGCATTTCAGGCACAGGGAGGAATTTCTGATTAGACAACAACAACAACAAAATGGAGCTGGACAACGGTATGTGAAAATAGCTGCATTTGTGAGGAGAGAGAGAGAGAGAGAGAGAGAGAAAGAGAGAGAGAGAGAGAGAGAGAGAGAGAGAGAGAGAGTTTTCTACATTTCTATGAAAAAGGGTTTGGGAAGATGAATTGTTGATGTACCACTTTGGAAGCATTGTCAACTGTTGCTCTTAAACTCTCTTTGCTAAAGAGGGAGAGAGATCACAATTAATTATGAGAGTCTTTTTTGATTGTGGCGGTTTGGAAGACTAACCAATAAACGCATAAATAAAGAGCGTCTACACTATGCTTTTACAAGGTCCCAGCTTTTGTTTATTTATTTGTGGCGATATAACCCCAGAGCCAAGCGTGCCTGTGTACTTGTCAAAATAAAGGCGCATAGTATAAGCCAGCACCAATCTTGATTATTAGGGTGAGAAGATTCTGAATGCACATGAAAGTTGGTGTTGCCTATATTAGCTGAATTTCTGTATTCTACAGTTTGCTTTGTTGCATATATCGAAAGCTAATGATCTCATCTGTGAAGAAGGCACATCACGAACTATAGGGAGGGAGAGGAGACAATTACTGCAAAATATATTAGTGTTGCATTGTTAGGATGGGTTTATAATAATTAGGTAGACGCCACTTCCTTTTTTTTTCCGCCTACAAAAGAAAGCCATCATTACGAAAGATGATCACGCTAGTCTTTTATGCTTCATCTGAGTTTGGTTTGAAGAGCATTCCCTGGATATGAGTGTTGAAATCTCATACTCAACTTCATGGCTAAAATTTTCATTTCACTCCTACAGGGCTGAAGGTACCATCAATCTGATGATGCAATAGAGAAGGAACAACCTTAGCCGAAGCTTGGTCAGCCAAGGACACTTTTTTTACGTTGAGATCTACTGACCACCACAATATGAGACTGCCCTGTCCAACGTCACAACATGTCATCTATTCCCTGATGTGATTCTACTTGAAAAAATAAGATATAATAAAAATATAAAAGTCACTCTGGCTCCTGCGATAAGGGAAAAGCATTAGCCTCTGCAGGAAGAAGCAAATGACAAAATGATTGCAGCAACATTATGATGCAAGCTCTTTGGTTTATGCATAGAATTTGTGGTTTCACTGTAAGTTCTCAACACTCATATTGTTATTCTGGTTAAATGGTTAAATCCTATGGGCAACTTGATGGTCAGACCATGAGCAGGTCCCTTAATTCTCAGATTGTCTAAATGTTTCAGAGACACTCAAATTTTGTTTTAATGTTTCTTTCAAAATTTAATTTTTCTCTTTGCTCCTTGTTCCATTACTAAAACTCTCCTTCTACATCCATCTATCCATCCATCCATCCATCCATCCATCCATCCATCCATCCATCCATCCATGCAAGCATCCATCATTGGAAGTG